CTTCGGGCGTCCCAGGCCAACTCCGTCGCTACGCTTAGAAGATAAAACCCCGCCGTGTCCCAATTACTTGAGAACGGACAGCTCAGTAATTTCTCCATGCATAGATATTTGAATTTGTTCTTTCCTCCCTGCTCATCTGTGTAATAATGTTTGCTTGTTTAGCCCAAGAAGAACCCAGAGAGTTGGACAGATTTTCTGCTGTGTAGGAAAGTTTCTTCTACAGACTCCTTTGTAGTTCTGTGCGGAGTTTAAAATATCCCGGCCCTGGGCAGCCCTGCTCCTGGGAATTTATTTTCCCGAGAGGAATGAAAACATATGGACACATAAAACTTGTATGTGAACACTCAGAGTAGCTTTATTTTAGCAGCTAAAAACTGGAAGCCATTCAAACGTCCGGCAACGGGCGAACTGACAAACACACGTTTGCGCAGACACGGAATGACGTTCAGCAGTTTCAAAACAGAGTGAAGCACAGCTGCAGGCGGGCGCGGGTCGGCCTCAGAAGCAGCCGGCCAGGGTCTGGGCTAGCTAGTACATGTGCTCCGAGTACGTGCGGTGGCTGTACCCGGTGCCGTGTGTGCAGCTACAGCAGGGCCAGCAGGCGACCAGGACGCACACAGCTGTCCAGGGGCCGCGTCCGACGTCGCGAACGCAAACGCGTGAGGAGCTCGGTGCCCAGGCCCAGCCAGGTCGACTGGAGGCCTCTGTCCCCGGATACAGTGAGCTGAGGCCTCACAGAGGCTTCACACGCTCGCCCCCGCTGCGCAGGTGCGGCCACCTGCCCAGAACCCGAGTGTCCAGCCGCGGAGGGATCAAGACACTGGCAAGCTAGGGCACAGCAGGAGCAAGGGTCAGGGCGGAAAGGGAAACGTATGGAGGAAGACGCACATCAGCGAGCGATTGCAAACCAGCGACAGACAGCCGGGAGACGGGGTCCGCGCTGGCCGGGAAGGGCGCTCGGGACCGTGGGGATGGCGCAGGGTGGCGGCGGGGAGCCCGGGGTCACAGCCCGGCTGAGACATGCACCGACGTACAAGAGGAACGCTGGAGCGGCGTGACCTCCCCGAGGGGCGAGTGGCCCCCAGTGGCCCCTTTAGTCCGGTCACTGAATTCTGGCCTCCTCCCTCCCATGTTCCACGCTGACTTATCTTAGCCTGGGGTGACTTTCGAGCCCCGGAGGGCAGGAGGGTCCGATCCCCCACTTCAGCCGACGCCAAAGCCCCTTTCCAGCTGGGCTTGACGGGCCGAGATCCTGGCAGAGATTCGCTGGCGAGCAGTGGTGACGCGTGCGGGGAGATGCTCACGGGCCTCCACCGTGCGGGCGCCCGCCGGCGCTCAGGCTGCACCAGCAGTGACACCCAGCCGACCACCGGGGAGCAGGCCGCGGCCCCCAGCTCCTCCACCCCCTCCGGAGAGAGACAGAAACTCCCCCACGGCCCCCTCAGCTTGGGAGTCCGTTACAGGCACCGGTTCTATTTTCCCAGTAAAATATAGACATTCTGCACCATTTCCCTTCTGTGCGACATTTGCTCCCTTCCCAGGGGTGTCCTGGAGCCCCAGCACCTGCATCGCACACAGGGGACCCCCCCCTCTGCCCACCCAGTCACACTGTGGGCTTGTTTCTGTTGCGCTTTACTGGTGCCGTCTCCCCTGGCCCCTCAGTCGGTTCCCTCCGGCCCCAGGTGGCCGGGTGTGTCCACTGCAGCCCCACTAGCACATTCGGCCCCAGCACTGCACCTAGACACTTGCGTTGGCCCCCGCCTGGGGGCTGCGGCCTGTCCCCCTCTGCAGAGGAGGCCCGAGGAGGCCGCCCAAGGGGGCGCAGCGCCCCGTGCACCACAGCCTGACTGCTGGGCGCGCCCCCAGGACCTCGGGAGGGGGAGGGAGGAGCTTCCCCTTCTCACATGACTTGTCTGGGAATGTAACAGCCAGCTGCTCAAAGCCGCCCCAGGAGGGGGCCCTGGCTGTGGATTCTTTGGCCAAGCTCAGCTCCTGCGGACTCTGGAGAAACTGCCACGCCCTGAGCTACCTGGAAGGAGAATCGGGTGTGTCCGGCC